GACTAGGATTGGTGACAGGGGACACCGTTGCCTTCTTTCTGATGTTACCATCTAGTTTTTTTAGTGTAGTCTCCTAATATTAAACAAGAGCCCAGTTGATGTAGCGGTGGGTGTGAGAGGGGAAGCATTCTCCAGTCCAGTGATTGGGTCTCAATCTTTGAGCCTATCTCCCTGGACTTGACCTCCTTTGATATAATAAGAAAGATACTTGACCTTTGTCCTCAGTTCCTAGCAAAAATCTCTTGAAGCCCTTGGAATTACTTGAGTGATAAGGGTGATAGAGTGTCTTTTGTTTTAATGAGGCATCTCTTGGCCAGCTCCTAGATAGCTTCAGGATGGGAGTTGAACACCAAAAACATCAAGCTTTGATTAGAGACTTGGAACTCTCAGCCTCAGGTCCCAGCCTCTGGGGAGAAGGGAGGGGCTGGACACTGAGTTAATCACCAATGGCCAATGATTTAATAAATTCTGCCCATGTAATGAAACCTCCATCAGAACTCTTTAAGACAGAATTCAGGGGCCGGCCCCGTGGCTTAGCGGTTAAGTGCACGCGCTCCGCTGCTGGCGGCCCGGGTTCGGATCCTGGGCGCGCACCATCGCACCACTTCTCTGGCCATGCTGAGGCCGCGTCCCACATACAGCAACTAGAAGGATGGATGTGCAACTGTGACATACAACTATCTACTGGGGCTTTGGGAGAAAAATAAATAAGTAAAATTAAAAAAAAAAAAAGACGGAATTCAGAGGGTTTCACGCTTGGTGAACACATCTTGGTGCTGGGAGGGTGACATATCTAGGGAACAGAGGTGCCCCACTTCCACAACCTTGACCCCTACCCTTGCCGTACTTTGCCCTATGCATCTATTCCATTTAGCTGTTTCTGAGTTGTATCTTTTGTAGTAAACGAAGAATAGTAAGTAAATGGCTTTGCTGAGTTCACAGAATTGTTTTAGTAAACTACCAAACCTGACAGGGTGTGGAGGGAATCTGTGAATTTGTAGATGGCTGAGTAGAATTGTTGGTAGTACTTGTGGCACCCCATTTGTGGTTGGCATCTGAAGCAGGGGCAGTGTGTATGACTGAGCTCTTAAATTGTGGACTCTGATGTGAACTCTGGGTAGTTAGTGTTAGAATTGAATTGAACTCTTGGATACCTATTTGGTGGTGTAGAGTTGGGGAAGTGGCATTGGAACAGACACCACATATTTGGTGTCAGGAGGGGGAAAAACCTATTATCTTCACAAGTGCCCCACTTTTAAGAGCAGAGGAGGCTAGAACAGATTCAAGTTGGCTATTTCTGTCCCCCCAGGTCAGTTAGGCTCTGGAAATATCCCAGTCACCTATACTCTTGTGAAATAGATTGTTTTGAGGACATGGCTTAATAAGAACAGAATATTTTGGGCATATTTTTAAATGGCTACTTTTTTGACTCTCTTCCTAATTGTGGAGACAGCGGTTTACCCTGTGCCCTCAATTCTCTGAATGAAGAGTTGTTGATTTTAAGTTTCTTGGCTTTTTTTCTTCTGAGGATTGGAAGCTAGCTTCTTCTAAGCTCCTTATATGCCAGACCAGAGACCAGGAGCCTCTGATTCCTTTTTGTGATGTTTGACGGCTGACAGGTTTAAATCTTCATTCCCGTGTGCCCCACATCTGTGCAGTGATCAGAAAACGTGCGTGCTCCTTCCTTTAGTTCTGGCAAGTGATTCAATCCACGGAAGACCCTTCCCCTGCTCCTGAACTCTCACCCTAGCCCACCCCCTCACCTCAATAAAAAACCCAGGCCAGGCTCTTCTGCTTACTCTCTCAAGGCATGTCCCACCTGCTTGAGAGGCCTGCCCTGCCTTCCGCTGACAGTGTCATGATGGAAGTAATAAAGCCTCTCACACCCTCTAGGGACGTCTGTGTTGTCATCCGTGTAGACACCTGAACCAGATCTCGCGTTGCAAGGTGACATAACTGTTATACAGTAGATAATAGTAGTGTGCTGCGTTTTGTAATACTCTTTGTTCTATTGATAAGTCCTCTAGATCTTTTGATAATAGCATGTGTCACCCTTGTATGAGTCTGCAAATGCAAATAAACAATAAATTCTGTGGACGTTGTTAAAAAATTGCTGGGCCTTTTATAGTGATCGAGTTCAGATTTACAGGAAATGGCAGTGGAGTGTACCACTTGAGCCCTCCTCTATTTGTGCATGATTTATTGATTTGTTCACAGTGGTCTTCGACACTTGGGATTATTAAATTGATGAATTTTTGTTCTAATCACTGTGAAACGGGATCTTCTGGACATTTTCTTTGCCTTTTACCTCATTACAAGGTGATGGACATTTTTCATATATGGTCTTTCATCTTCTGTTAAGTCCGTTCTGCTTCTTTGACCATTTTAAAATTATGTGTCTGTTCATGTTCACTCTAGAAACTAACCTTTCTGTATTCCATGTACTGCTGATGTTTTTCTTCTCTGTTGTTGTTTAATTACCTTAATTTTAATATATTTGAATTTGTCGGGCTCTGGGTTTATGGCCTACTCTTTTTCTTATATGAGAATTTTCTCCCTATTCTTGTGTCAATAAATTGTTTACCTGTGACTTCTAAAGGTGGCCTAGTTTTATCTTTCACATATAATCTATAATGAACTGGCTATTGTCCATGGAATAGTGGGGAATACAAGGCATTTTTTCACTTAGATAGCAGTTTGTCCCTGCCCTGGGTGTTAGTGTCATGACATTTGCCACTGCTCTACAATGCCCCCTCTGCCCTTTACCAACTTTCCATATTAAATCCCAACCCACGGAAGACACTTTTCCTTTCCCTTTGTCTGTTTTTCTCTCTGCTAATACTGTGTCATGGAATACTATAGCTTAAAAATTCTTGATAGATGTTAGGTAGACCACCACTTTGTTCTTCAGAAGACTTTGTTCATTTTTTGACATTTGTTCCTCTTATTAGGTTTGGAGGAGTAGTTTTTGTTGACGCCTAACAGTTTGTTTTGGGGATTTATGGAATGTTATAAAGATATCATTTGGGAGAGGTGACCTCAAGGTGACACTGAAGAGGTAACACTGGGTGGTTCTTCCTAAGAACATGTGCCATCCTTTCACTTACTTTTATTTGACTTTACCCCTGAAAATTTAAAAAATTTCCAAGAAGATTATTAAATATCCTTTATTAGTCTTGTTTGGTACTGAATTAAATTTGGTCCAGAGGAAACCAGGTACAAGCTTCCAAATGTTTCTTAGTGTAATCGCATAGGCTGGGCTCAGTTCTCCAAGCAGCAAGTTGTGAGTACAAGTGTGAATTATTGTCTACCAGGGAAACTCAGTAGCGACTCAGTGGCCAGAGTGTTTTCTGGGGGCTGACCACATCAGCACCGTCTGCTGAACGTGTAACAAAATTACAGACTCTCAAAAGGAAAACAGGAGTTTACTATATACTGTGTTATTTGCATTAATTTTAGGCACACTGAGGCACTCTTATCTGTAAGATTGGTGGAGTCACTCCCCAAATCCCAGTTCCAAGATACCAGCAAAAGATGAACTTTGTGAGCCAGAATTTATAAGGATCAGCAGTCTCGAGCCTGCTCATATTCACTGTGTTCTGGACACTAGGTAGCAGGACTTTGTTATGAGCAAGCTCTACAGTTCTGCTGTAGAAAGAGTACAGTAGTCCCCACTTATCTGTGGTTTTGCTTTCCTCCATTTCAGTTACCCATGGTCAACTGTAGTGCAAGATATTAAATGGAAAATTCCAGAAATAAACAATTCATAAGTTTTAAGTTCCGCGCTGTTCTGAGTAGCATGATGAATTCTCATGCTGTCACACTTTGTCCCACCTGGCATGTGAATCATCCCTTTGTCCGGCTTATCGACACTATATATGCAATGTATCCGTTAGTCAGTACTGTCTGTGTTTTCAGATTGACTGGCACAGTATTGCAGTGCTTGTGTTCAAGTAACCCTTATTTTACTTTTTAATGGCCCCAAAGTACAAAAGTAGGGATGCTAGCAATTTGGATATGGCAGAAAGCAGCCATATAGTGCTTTCTTTAAGTGAAAAGGTGAAAGTTCTCAACTTAATAAGGAAAGAAAAATTTGTATGCTGAGGTTGCTAAGGTCTATGGTAACGTTTATACACAATATATAGTGTATAAAATCTGTTCTATTTTATTATTATTGTTAATCTCTACTGTATGTATAGGGTTTGGTACTATCTACAGTTTCAGATATCCACTGAGTATCTTAGAACATGTTCCCCAGGGCTGAGGGGGGACTAATGTAATTAGTGTTGAGCCAGGCAGCTCCTCTTACCCCCTGGACCCACAGCAAGAGAGGTGTTCCTGTTTTGCTGTTCCTATTTTGCTGTTCCTCTGCTGAATAGATGAATTGTAGCATCAGAATTGCTATTGGGAACTTTTCTCTGTCTCCTGTGCATGGACATCAGTGGGTTACTGATCTCTTTCAGGGGCCAGCATTTAGGGGAGTTATGCCACTGAGGGATTCCTATCCTGGGATGGGCTGTCATGCTGCCTTGCCCCACAGAGGAGCTCAAGAAAGAGAAATTGACAACCACGAGAGTGGCTGGTTGGGTACTATTGCTGAAATTAGAGAAAGATTTTATGGTTTTTTTAGGGGAAAGCACTGTTGAACTCTTTATATATTTTATAATCATGTGCAAATTCATCATCAAACTGTTGTGGACCTCAATGAAGTTCCCTTCAAATTTCATGTCTTAACCTGTTCCTCAAGGTTGTCAAAGCCCAGGTTACAGTATTATGATTCTGCCAGAAAAACCTCTTATGTGAGCTCATCATCTCAGTATGCATGCCTGTGTGTCCTAAAAATTGGTGGGAAACAACCCTGAGGCTCATGAGTATAGGGATTTTGTGGAGGTCTAAGTTACCATGCCTTCTTCCTCATACCTGAGCTATGTCTTCTGAATAACTTTCTAGCTACATGAAATGAGACAGAGAACAGAACGTAAAACTGAGTCTGTGAGAAATATTTTATAAACTAATTGTAAATCATTTTCCTCCACAAGAATATTTTCATTCAACCAGCTGGATCTGAGTACTTCTAATGGCCTGGAGTACTGCAGGACAATATGGCCAGCTGGATCTTCTTACCAGTTGGGTTTCCAGAGGCCTTCTGGTCTCTCATGTTTGGGGATGGGAATAGAAGAAAAAGCTTCCAGTTTTTTGCTTTATTTTTACTCATTAAAATCTCATGTAGATGTGACCCTGTGCTTTATGCAGTGCTTTATGATATGGTGGGTATTAAAGAAGGATATGAAAGAGTTTATCTCATGAGGAATTGATGAGCTTAAATGGAAATATTTATTTCATTTGTGTAGAATTTTTTTCATTTCTCCAAGGGGTTCTGTATCCTGATATTACACAGCAATGAAGACTTGAAGTGGTCAGAATAAAAATGTAGGAATAAATTTCATGTGTGCATGATGCTGTTAAATTTATGAGGAAGTGAGTGTGTCAGAGAGTAAGAGTTCCGAAGACCAAGTTATAGAGTAATACATGGAGACAACAGAGTCGTATGTAAACTTCTTATGAATTGAGTAAAGATCCCCACTGCTGTTCATCTCACTCATCCTCTTATATATGTATTTGGGATGTTTTAGGATTCAGTGACCTTTCAGGATGTGAGTGTGAAGTTCACCATGGAGGAGTGGGCTCTGCTGGATCCATCCCAGAAGAAACTCTACAGAGATGTGATGAAGGAAACCTTCAGGAATCTGGCCTCAATAGGTGGGGATGACAACATTCATACTTAATTACGTGTCAGTTAGAAAGCCAGTGTTGCTTGCTCATCAGTGCTGTTTCAAGAGGTGAAATGTGGAAAGGAAATACATGGGCAAATAAATCAGGGAGGGTCACAGCTCATCATGAACCTAGAATCTAACAATTTTTTCTATAGTCTTTTCTAATTTATAATGATTTTTCCTGGTCTGCATTTTAGGAGAAAAATGGGAAGACCACAACATTGAAGATCAGCATGAAAACCACGTGACAAATCTAAGGTGAGTCACACTCACATGAGAAAGCAGTGTCCCATGAGAGAATCCTCCTATGTCATGAAATTTTAAAAACAGCACATAAAACAAATTGGCTTGGTTTCATATTGATTCATTCTTAGAATATTTTTATCAAAATATTTTTCTTAAATGTGCTAGATAGTCAGTGTTTGAAAAACAGTACACTTGGAAACAGTATTTAGAAACTCTAGTTATGCATATCACTGTTTTGATAATAGCTATGCTTAAGCCCTCTTGCAGAGCGTTCAGCATATTCACTTTCAAACAATCAGAGAGTGCTGAAAACTTAAACTTTCCTTGATTGTGGTAAAAAATGTCATAGTCATAACTTAATAAATGTGAAATCATTAATAAATAAGCCATTAATAATGTGCTTCTCATTGTTTACAGCAGTCATATGCTTGAGAGACTTGGTAAAAGTAAAGAAGGTAGTCAGGATGGAGAAACCTACAGCCAGATTCCAAATCATAATCAGACAAAGAAAACTACTGGAATAAAACTATGTAAATGCAGTTTGTGTGGACAAGTCTTCATGGATCGTTCATCCTTTACTAGGCACCTGAGATCTCACACTACACCCAAATCATATGTTTATCAGGAATATGAAGAGAAGCCATATAAGTGTAAGGAATGTGGGAAAGCCTTCAAGTATCGCCAATCCATTCGAAAGCATGAAAGGATTCACACTGGAGAGAAACCGTATAGATGTAAGCACTGTGGTAAAGCCCTCAGTTGTTTCAGTTACTGTCAAATTCATGAAAAATCTCACACAGGAGAGAAACCATATGAATGTAAGCAATGTGGTAAAGCTTTCAGTTGTCCAACTTACTTTAGAAAACATGAAAGAACTCATACTGGAGAGAAACCATATGAATGTAAGCAATGTGGTAAAGCTTTCAGTTGTCCCAGATCCTTTCGAAGTCATGAAAGGGGACACAGGGGAGAAAAGCCTTATGAATGTACAAAATGTGGTAAGGCCTTCAGTTGTCCAAATTACTTTCAAAAACATAAAAGAATTCATACTGGAGAGAAACCCCATAAATGTAAGCAATGTGGTAAAGGCTTCATTTGGCCAAGTTACGTTCGAAAACATGAACTAATTCATAATGGAGAGAAACCCTATGAATGTATACAATGTGGTAAAGCCTTTAGTTGTCGCAAATCCTTTCAAATTCATGAGAGGAGACACAGTGGAGAAAAGCCCTATGAATGTAAGGAATGTGGTAAAGCCCTCAGTTCTCTCACCAACCTTCAAAGACATGTGATGAAGCATACTGGAGGTGGACCTTATAAATGTAAGGACTGTGGGAAAGTCTTCGATTGTCCCAATTACTTTCAACGTCATGAAAGCACACACAGTGGAGAAAAGTCCTATGAATGTAAGGAATGTGGTAAAGCCTTCAGTACTCCCAGGTCCCTTGAAAATCATGAAAGAATTCATACTAGGAAAAAACCTCATAAATGTAAAGAATGTGGTAAAGCCTTCAGTTTTCCCTGTTCCCTTCAAAAACATGAAAGAAGTCATACTGGGGAAAAGCCCTATGAATGTAAGCAATGTGGTAAAACCTTCGCTTATCTCAGTTCCATTCAAAAACATGAAAGAACACATAGTGGAGAGAAACCCTATGAATGTAAGGAATGTGGGAAAGCCTTCATTTATCTTTCAAATGTCCAAAGACACATGATAAAGCACACTGGAGATGGACCTTATAAATGTAAGGAATGTGGGAAAGCCTTTGATTGTCCCAGTTCATTACAAACACATGAAAGAACTCACACTGGAGAGAAACCCTATCAATGTAAAAATTGTAGTAAAGCCTTCACTCGTGCCAGTTCTTTACGAAATCATGAAAGAACTCACACCTGAGAGAAAGTCTGTGAACATAAGGAATGGAGGAAAGCCTTCATTTGTTGCACAACCTTTCATGGACACATAAGAATGCACAATGGGGAGAAAATGTATGAACGTAAAGAATGTGGGAAAGCCTTCAGCTGTCCCATTTCTTTGGGAAGCCATGAAAAAACTCATAGTGGAGAGAATTCTCCTGAATATAAACAATATTGGAAACCTTTAACTTGCCCCACAAAACCATGTGAGAATGTGCACTGGATACATACTGTATAACTGAAAAATAGACAAACTTTGTAATTTCAACAGATATTTTCTGAGTAGTGTGAAAACTGCACCAGAAAGAAATCATATTAATGTAAGTACAAGCGTACCTCATTTTATTGCACTTCACTTTATTGTGCTTTTCAGATGCTGCATTTTTTGCAAATTGAAGGTTTTGGCAAGCCCCCCATCAAACAAATCAGTCAAGCAAGTCTATCAGTGCCACTTATCCAACAACATTTGCTCAGTTTGTGTCTCTGTGTCATGTTTTGGTGATTCTCACAGTATTTCACTTTTTCATTATTATTCTATTCGTTATGGTGATTTGTGATCAGTGATCTTTGATGTTACTATTGTAGTTGTTTTGGGGCACCACACACCATGCCCATATAAGATGGCAAACTTAATTGATAGTATGTGATCTGACTGGCCATTTCCCCATCTGTTTCCATCTCCTAAGGCCTCCCTGTTTCCTGAGACACAATATTGAAGTTAGGCCAGTTAATAACACTACAGTGGCCTTTAAGTGTTCAAGTAAAAGGAACAGTTGCATATCTCTCACTTTAAATCAAAAGTTAGAAATGATTAAGTTTAGTGAGGTAGGCATGTTGACAGCTGAAAGAGGCTGAAATGTAGGCCTCTTGTGCCAATTAGCCAAATTGTGATTGCAGAGTAAAAGTTCTTGAAGGAAATTAAAAGTGCTACTCTAGTGAACACACGAATGATAAGAAAGTGAAATGACCTTATTGCTGATAGAGAAAAAGTTTTAGTAATCTGGATAGATCAGACCATCCACAATCTTCCCTTAAGCCAAAGCCTAATCCAGAGCAAGACTTGAACTCTCTTCAATTCTGTGAAGGCTGAGAGAGCTGAGGAAGCTGCAGAAGAAACAGTTGAGGCTAGCAGTGGTTTGTTCCTGAGGTTTATAGAAAGAAGCCATCTCCATAACATAAAAGTGCAAAGAAAAGCACCAACTGCTGATGTAGAAGCTGCAGCAGTTAGCCAGAAGATCTAGCTAAGATAACGAATGAAGGTGGTTACACCTGACAACAGACAAAATGGCCTTATATTGGAAGAAGATGCCATCTAGGATTTTCATAACTATAGAGAAGTCAAAGCCTGGCTTCAAAGCTTCAAAGGACAGGCTAACTCGTGTTACGGGCACCTGGTGACTTGGAAGTTGAAGCCAGTGTTTATTTACCATTCTGAAAATCCTAGGGCCTTTAAGAATTATGCTAAATCTACTCTGCCTTTGCTCTATGAATGGAAAAACAAAACATCTAGATGGCACATCGGTTTACACTATCATTTACTAAATATTCTAAGCCCGCTGTTGAGACCTACTGCTCAGAAAAAAAGATTCCTTCCAAAATATTACTGCTCATTGACAATGCACCTAGTCACCCAAGAGCTCTGAGGGAGATGTACAATGAGATTAATGTTGTCTTCTAACACAGCATCCATTCTGCAGCCCATGGATCAAGGAGAAGTTTTGACTTTCAGATCATATTATTTAAGAAATACATTTTGTAAGGCTATAGCTGTCATAGATAGTGATTCCTTTGATGGCTCTGTGCAAAGAAAATTGAAAATCTTCTGGAAAGGATTCACAATTATATATGATTTTAAGAACATTTGTGATTCATGGAAAGATGTGAAAATACCAACCTCAACATGAGTTTGGAAGAAGTTGATTCCAACCCTCATGGATGACTTTGAGGGGTTCAAGACTTCAACAGAGGAAGTAACTGCAGGTGTGATGGAAATAGCAAGAGAACTAGAAGTAGAAGTGGAGTCTGAAGATGTGCCTGAGTTGGTGCAATCTCATGAAAAAACTTTAACAAATGAGGAATTGCTTCTTATGGATGAGCAGAGAAAGTGGTTTCTTGAGATGGAATCTACTCCTGGTGAAGGTGCGGTGAAGATTGTTGAAATGATGAGAGAGGATTTAGAATATGACATAAACTTAGTTGATGAAGCAGTGGCAGGGTTTGAGAGGACTGACTCCAATTTTGAAAGAAGTTCTACTGTGGGTAAAATGCTATCAAACAGCATCGCATGCTACAGAGAAATCGTTCCTGAAAGGAAGAGTCCATCAATGTGGGGAACTTCATTATTGTCTTATTTTAAGAAATTGCCATGGCCATCCCAGTCTTCAGCAACCACCACCCTGATGAGTCAGCATTGAGGCAAGACCCTCCACCAGCATAAAGATTAGGACTCACTGAAGGCTCAGGTGATGGTTAGCATTTCTTAGCAATAAGGTATTTTTTAATTAAGGTATGTATGTTGTTTTTTTTAGACGTAATGCTGTTGCACACTTAATAGACTATAGTATAGTGTAAACATAAATTGTATGTGCTGGGAAACCACAAAATTTTTGTGCCTCACTTTATTGTGATATTTACTTTATTATGGTGGTCTGAAACTGAGGCCACAATATCTCTGATGGTATACCTGTGATATGGGTAAGCCTGGTGCAAATTAATTCATGTATAATATTCTAAAAAGTTCATGGGGCCAGCCCAGTGGCATAGTGGGTAGGTTCAGCATGCTCCACTTCGGTTGCCTGGGTCTGTAGAGTCAAGTCCCTGGCACGGACCTACACCACTCATCAAGTCATGTAGTGGTGGTGACACACACAAAATAGAGGAAAGATTGACATGGATGTTATCTCAGGGCCAATTTTCCTCAAGCAAAAAGAGGAAGATTGGCAACAGATGTTAGCTCAGGGCCAATCTTCCTCACCAAAAAAAATTCACAACATGAAAGAAGTGTTATAATTATTATACACGTATGGCCTTTATCAGTGACCTATTCTTCCAGTGAGTCTGTAGTATGGAGTTCTACTTACTTTTGCAAGTAAATATTAAAGTGAGATATTCTGTACATATTCTTTAAGCAAGAGTTCTTAATTTTTTTTAAATATTCATCTACTTTTTAATTTAGCTTTTTTTTTTTTTCTGCTAAGGAAGATTAACCCTGAGCTAACATCCATTGCCAATCTTTCTCTTTTTGCTGAGGAAGATTAGCCCTGAGCTAACATCTGTGCCCACCTTCCTCTATTTTGTATATGGGATGCCGCCACAGCATGGCTTGATGAGCTGTGTGTAGGTCTGTGCCTGAGATCTGAACCTGTGAACCCCAGGTAACCGAAGTGCAGCACGCGAACTTAACCACGACACCATCGGGCCAGCCCCAAGAGTGCTTAAATTTAATAGGTAGTTTTTTTTCCTTTAGTCAATAACATTTTTGTGTTTGTATTTTGAAGTCTGTTGGATCCATGGGTGAATTGAAGTGTATTTCTAATATGCAACTAGGTTTAATTTTTATATAATTTTGTAATTGTTCTGTAAGGAAAGGAACGTTAAAAAATTACACTTTGGTATTTGTTGGTTTTTTCCTACTGGTCTCCTGGGCAAGTACTGGATATGTCTTACCCATTACATATATATTCCACCTTTTATTCTTAACAGAAATCTACTTTTTCATTGGCCTGAAGGGCCTTATTCCATTTTCCTTGCCAAAAAACATTTTCTATATATTTGTAAGTATGCAGAGTTCATCATAGTCTCATGTGAAGTATTATTTTCATCTTTTGTCCTTTGCTGTTTGTCATTGCTTCTGGCTGGGATTTGGACTATAGAGTTTGCATTAAGAAGAGAGACCTATGATAATGACAGTAAAATCTAGAGTTGGAGATGACTCTTCCTGACTCGGTTGTGTCAACGTGACTAATGTCGTGAACTACATTTTCTAGAATCCATTGCCTTTATGGTTCCTTGTTAGAATTCACCAAAGCCTAACTTACAAGAAATTTGGAATGCAGACATGAAATGGGATTAGGCAAGTTTTGGAGCCATCTCTGTAGAAGGAGACAGACAGAAGTGAAGGACCTTAGACGCTTGCTTCCAGCCTGTTTTCCTCATTCTTTGCCCTGCCAGTCAAGAATGTTGACAAAACACAAAACCACCGCCGACTGTCTGATTTCCATTTGATTCGAGCTGTAGGTTTCTACAGTTGCCTCCAAAATTCAACATCAAGGATCCAGCACAGGTTGCATTTTTCCACATGCCCTCATGTGTCCAGTAGGCAACAAATTTAGACTGTCATGGTTGAGAAGATTCTCTGTAGCTCTATTCCTCCCTTCTCTAGATTGTGTTCATATAAGGTCTGATTTGTATAATAGACACCTTGTTCTGTTAACACTGCTAGTGACTATGTGTTCCTCATTGCGCTGTGACAATAACATGGGTGCTGTCATAAAGAAGTCCGTGGGAGTTTGTTCCTTCAGTGCACTGTGCAGTGACTGCTCTGATCAGTCCTTCCATGTGAGAATTGGCATCTTCCTCATATCAGGCAGATTCTGGATGTTTCCTGTTGCTCATAGCTGAGTGTAATCCCTCAATATGTTTTCAGTTACTTTTGTATCTGATTGGAAGTATGTGCATTTTTTCTCTAACGAATGCTTCTGTAGTTTTCTCTTAGAAAAATTTTATTAACAAACACTTGTTTGCTAAGAAATATTATTGTATTTTTCATTTCCTGAGAGGATATATTGAAATATCCCATTGTAATTATGGATTTTTAGATCAACTTGTAATTTCTCCATTTAATCATTATACATTCTGAGCCAATATTATCATATGCATACAAATTCAGGTATTTTTTTCCTCAGGCAAATTTTATTTTTTATTCTCTTATAAATTTTTCTACTTTAATGAATTTTTATACTTTATAGTTTTTGTCATGAGACTAATTTGTTATTCATTTATAATACCAAAACTTAAATCATTTTTTTTCAGTCCTCACCTGCCAAAGACCACCAGTGTGCCACCTGCAGTCAAAGAGAGGGGAGTATAAATTCTAGTAGAGAAGTTCCCCCTGATCACACTATACGAGATGGATCATGATAACTAAAAATAAAATAGAACAGTTATAACAATATTGTGTAATACTAATACTTGTTATGTGAATGTGGTCTTTCTCTCAAAATATGTTATTGTACTGTACT